CAGGCAGAGACGTGCCTTAGAGCATTCTAGGCAGGGTGGGGTGGGGGTGGGGGCAGCATGTGCAAAGGCCCCAAGACAGGGGCAGGTTTGGTGGACCAGAGTGAAAGGAGATCGAGTTGGGAGGTAGACAAAGCAGGCAGGGCTCGTGGGTCCTGGCGAGAGAGACGCGTTTACCCCAGGAACGGAGGGCATTTGGCAAGTCTGTATTTTTAAGACTACTCTCGCTGCTGTGGCATTGTGGTACATATTGGGCTGTCGACTGCAAGGCCAGCAGTTCAAAACCACCAGCCACTCTGCGGGAGAGAGACAAGCCTTTCTGCTCCTCTAAGGAGGTGCAGTCTCAGAAACCCAAAGGGGCAGTTCTACTTCATCTTCCAGGGTCGCCGTGAGTTGGGATCAACTCTCCAGCCTAGGGTGAGTGGTTTTATTGCTGCCGTGGAGAAGTCCTGGTGGTGGTGGGGGGGGTGTGAGGCAGTGGGAAGCTAACTGCAAGGTTGATGGTTCAAACCCACCAGCCACCCCGAGGGAGAAAGCTGAGGCTGTGTGCTCCCAGGAAGACTTACAGGCAAATAGGAAACCCTCCCTATATTGGGCTGTGATTAACTGGAAGCCACTCAATGGTGCTGCGTTCGGTTGGCTTTCGGGCGGCTGCTTGTGACTTGGAGGGCGTGAAAGTGCTCCAGTTCTGATGCCACGGGAGCTGGGTTTCTGTCTCTCCTGACACCTCTCAGCAGTGTGACCCAGTCACTGAGCAAGTCATCTGACCGCTCCGTGCTTCCCCTGCCCCATGTGGACACAAACAGCGCTGTGCTGCACGGTCACAGCGAGGCCTGAGTGAGTCAGTCTATGCAAGATCCCACCAGGCGGCGGTTCGGGGCTGTGACCAGTGTCACCGCACTGACATCCACACAGCACGTTCAAACGTCACTAACATACAGACCGAGGCTCGCCTGGGCTCTTGAACACTTACATATGCTTGTGAACACCTGCCCTCTGCCCACGTAGCACCTCCCTCTGCCCCCGCAGGCCCCCTCACCTGGGCTTGGCCCCACACATGGCCCCGGCACACAGGTCACTGGCTTCACCAAGGCCACGGCTTCTCTGGGCACCTGTCCCCACCCCAGAGAGAATGCTCAGGGCACAGGAGGGGAGGGGGCCACCAGCAGGACCCCAGACCTGTGAAGGGTAATGCTTCCAGAGACCTGGCGGTGCTGTGCCCCGGCCAGCCAGCCCACCCACCCACCCGCCCCGCTCACCTGGGTGCCAGCTGGCGCCACTGGGGGGGTCATCTGCTCCTTCAGGAGCAGCAGGGCCTCCTCGTGGGGGTCTGGCCGCTTCACGAACACTTTCCCACCATCCTTCCTGGGGGTGTTGGTGCACTATTATGGGGGACTCCACCCCGAGTCTCCCCTTCCCCATCATAGCCACCTACAACGGGGAACATCCTCCTCTGCCTGCCACTTCATGGTTCTAGGTGAGACCCGGAGACTGGACTGGGGTCAGCCAGCACAATGCAGCTGATGGCCAGTGCTCACCAAGACCACTTGCACGAACACACCTCCCCTATGGGAGTGGGGCCTAGCCCAGCCTAGCCCAGCAGACAGCGGACTGAGGATGGACATGGGGGCAGCAGCCCAAGGCCCTGGTCCAGGAGCCTGAGGTCTGGGGGCGGAGGTGCTGACCTGAGGGCCTTGGGGCCCCCTCCGTGGGGTGTCCGGTACTGCTGCACAATGTTCTTGATCTGCTGTGTGGGCTGGAGGATGTGCTCCGAGTTGAGCGTTGAATGCCGGACCAGTTCTTGGGAGGCTGCGGGTGCAGAGCAGGGCGCTGATCACCCAGGCTCGGTCACACCCAGTACTACTGTGGGGAGCCCCCTGCCCAGAGGAAGGAGACTCACTGGTTTCTGGGGAAGCCTGGGCCTGGGCAAGGATAGGCACTGCCACAGGCTTGGTGGGGGGGCTGGGGGCCTGGGCCCAGGGGGTTGGGGTCCCAGGCCTCGGAGCAGCACGCAGGAGCACAGGTTTGGCAGGGGGCCCAATGCCCACAGCCTTCGGCCATGCCTCTGGAGCGAAAGGTTTCTGCAGAGATCGGGGTGGGAAGCGGACTACTGGGGACCTTCCAGCCCCTTACCCAATCTCAAGAACCCCAGCTCTGTCTCAGACAAGCTGCTGGGCTCAGAGAAGGGCAGTGATGCCCAGGGAGGGCAGGCACAGCACCCCTCCCTGGAGAAGGCTCACCTCAGGGGGCAGGGATCGGGGGGCCGGGCCCGGGGCCTGCTGCTGGAGTGCCAGGGCTTGCAGAGTCATCTCCCGAGCCTGGGAAGGAGGGATGGCTGGGACCAAGCGGGCCGCCCCCCCTGCCCCCTACCCCCAGCGGGCCTGCTCTCCCTCCCTCACCAGTAGCACGGCCTGTTTTCGGATGAAGGCTTGCTGCAGGGCCAGCGTGGAAGTGTCCAGGCCTGGGACTGTGGGTCAGGTCAGGGTTAGGCAAGGGACATGCATAAAGAGGCAGGGAAAGGGGTGGGGCACAGAGAGAGACAGGGGTTCCCAACAATGCCCCTGTCCAGCTCCTCACTCCTGCCTCCCTGGAGCTGTCCCCCTCCAGCAGGAGCAGGTGGGTGGCCCCAGCCCACCCCATCCTGGAGCCACTCCTGGGCAGACACTGACTTGGTTTTGGCTTTGACTCTGAGGGTCTCCCAGGGGTGTCCTCAGCGCTGCTGCTGCTGCTGCCTCCACCAGGCTGACCACCACCCTTCATGCGGTAGGCAATGGCTGTGGGTTTCTCAAGGTCCTGGGGGAGCAGGTAGCTAGGATGACCGCCTCACTGCTGCACGTCCCTGCTCCATGACAACGGGCACCCGACACCAGCACTCCCTCTGCCTCTTCCACTGGCCAAATGTCTGTTGTATACCCAGCCTTTGCCCATGGGGACACCAGTTAGTCTGCCCGAAACCCTGCCAGCTCCTGACCCCGACTCCCTCTCGTGGTGCTGCAGAGAGGCTGTGCCCTGATCAGTGTGGCACAGCACGGCTGGGGCTCATGGAGGGGCTCCTGGGAGCTCCCGGAGCAAGCCAGGGTACATCAGGGCCCTCGAGGAGTCTGGGGCAGGAGGGAGGACCCAAGCCCGAGGTCACTGCCACCCGGAGAGAAAAGCTCTCAGTAGCCACACAGGGCTGGCTCTCACAATAGCAAGGCGGGGGCCTGGGGGGCTGTGAGGAGCAGCTCTAACCGGAAGAACATCCCATCTTTTGCCCCCCTCTTAGCAGAGACCAACAAGGGCACGCTCCCCCTGCTCTCCCCCGCTATCCCTACCCCGTGGTCCTGGCGTGCTAGGCCAGGCTGGTTTCAGGCAGACGTTTCCATACCACATCCCCGTAGGACAGCACAGGGTCGAAGAGGCTGTCAAGGTAGCCGTCCAGCCCCTTGGGGGGCACAGCAGGCTTGTCGTGACCGTCCCAGTCTGCTGGCGGTAGGGGTCCAAGAACATCAAGCTCCTTTCTCTGCTGGTCTCCAGCCCCACGTCTCATGCTCCCTATCCACCAGAGACAACAACCATTGCTGGTTGGCCTGAGGGGGCCACTGTCCCTTCTTGGGCCTCAGTCTCCCCATTTGTACCTTCCTCATTGTGGCTGCAGTACCCGTAGGAGTCGGGCCCTTGGGGCATGTGCTCCTGGGGCTGGGGTCTTGTGGGTGAGTCCTCATCTGAGTCCCAGCTGTTCCCAAATACACTGTGGGAAAGGGGACAAGGAGCAGCTGACCCCAGAGAAGTCCACTGCTCACCGACGGCAGCCATCCCCCAAATCTCCCTGGTGCCTGGAGCGTGCACAACTATCTTTAAAAGGCAGGCCTCTCTGGGAAGCGCCACCTCCACAGGAAGCCTCAGCCAGCGGCTGCCGGGTGGAGCCTTCTTTCTGCCTAGGGAAGACCTCTCTGAGGGAACACTCAGGGAGCTGCCTACGCTCTGGGGCCGCCCCGGCCAGCCACCGGCCCTTCAGCGCCGATGATGAAGTAGGACTTCTGTCGAGGGAAGCCCCTGAGCAGCTCAAGGTGCGACACCAGGTCCAGTACATAGTCGTGGCCGGCCAGCTCTGCCCACTGGACCCCATTCTTCATGGCCACTGTCCAGCCCCGCCAGCCGTCTGTCAGTCCTCTGGTGACACCATGCAGGAGGGATGAGAGTAAGGGAAGGAGCCGTCAGGCACTGCCGTGGTGCTCCCCCATCGGAAGCAGACCCCCAGGCAGGGCTAAAGGGGATGCTTTGGGGTCCTAGGAGTTCTGGCCTCCTGGTCCCCTGTCCACCCCTCCCAGGAGTACAAGAGGTGCTGAGAGGAGTACCCAAAGAGCCCACCTGTGTCTTAGGATGTCTCCAGCCACCTCTTCCCCTGTACTCCACGAGTGTACTGGGCAGGAAAACTGGTCCCCTGGGTGGGGGTGGGGAGCAGGTGCTGGGCTCAGTCTGGCCATGTCTGTAGTCCAGGATTCTTGCTCTTCTCCTGGAGCCCAGGCCCAGAGCCTCCCACCTACGACCTCAGGGCTAAAGCCACACCTGGGTGTGTCCCACCCCAGCTCAA